AGAAAGACGAGCGTAATGAGAGTCATCTCCAATGAAGGACAGCTGCTCTCTGTATTTACCGAGCCATCACCCCACCAGCCCCATGTGCAGTCACATATACAGGCTGTGCACACTGCAGAGCAAACCACAGAGTTGTTTTTTAGAGGGGGGGGGTTCCCTCGCATGTGTGCGTGTATTTTCCAACAGGTGCTGCTTTTGATTAAAGGTCGGGGAGCCTGGCCGGGTACTGATGTTTAACATTTTGGTTAAGAGGCAGCTGCCATCACTACAGCTGTGCTTTTACTTTACATGAAGTCACTTCGCCATCTCTGGGGCCACAGGCTCCGTGTGCACATGTGCACGTGTGCATCTGTGTGTTTTAATGTGGCAACCTTTACAGATTCTTACTGTGTGTGTGTGTGTGTGCACCGTCACACATTCTCACTCTGATGCCTTCCCATGCCATTCATTCCCACTTTTAGCTAAAAGCACTCTTCCAGTGGGGTTTACTGCTTTTTTCCTAACACTGCTGACAGATATCTTCCTGCTTTCTAGTTTCCATTAAAGCCGTGGGGGGTTCACTGTCACTCCACATCTCCCTTTTTCCCTCTCTCTCTCTTTACACATTTATATATATTTTCCCCTCGCTGCCTGAGAGGGAGAGAGAACAAGCACACCTTTCCCCACCTTTCTCCCCCTCTCTCAAGCCCCGAGCCAGGTACAGCTGCTTATTATGGGGGTTGCCATGTAAACAGAGTTGCAGTAACTAGACAGAAGCATCCAAAAAATACAGACAAATGAGCACACGCGATCAATGCAAGCAAGGCACCGACTTTACCTCTTCCAGATGGCTTGTTTGATGCAGTCTGACTCATGGGCGACTTGTCTGCATTGAGGCCGACAAAGCTTTTCTGTTGTTATACAGTGAACTCAGCAGGAAGCCAGAGCTTCCTCTGTATCTGGTACTGGAAAGGTTTGAAATAACAACTGACACAAGCTGAAAGAAACACTGATCATTATTCACGCATCGAAGCTGGTACAAGGGGTTTAGGAACGGCTTTGAAAACATGCCATCTGTAGAAAAAAAGTTAACAAAGCTGCAGTCATCACTGATGTTAAGGTGCATTCTTGAATCCTCTTGATGAGTGTGGCTTTGCTTACTATTGAAATTGTTATTGGAGTTTTATCTCAGATTTGAACTTTCAGGGCATCTTCACCACTCACCAGACTACAGAGGAGCGTATCTCAGTCTGCTGTTGCCCTGGCATCGCCCCAGCAACTGCCTCGCCAAGCTGGCATCTGTTTATAGAAGCAATCGTCTTCTCCTCCCACTGGGCTCCACTCATTTTTCAGCTCCTCGAAGGACAGGACCCTCTTTAGCGTGGTGGTGGTCTGGGTTTCTTTAAGCGACAGACTCTTTGTCTTCTTGCTGCAGTGCAACATTTCATTAACAGCTCGCTATTCAAATGTATTACAGTTCAAAAATGTACAGAAGGCCCGAAGGCCCAGTAGATTCCTACTCTGGATTGAATCAATGTTCCTAATTATTGCTGTTTTTTTAGGAGTTTTTTTTTTTTTTTTTTTACAACAAATACACAGCTCTGCCAAGACTAACTTGATGATTTAATTATTCTGTGGAAAATAATGCACATGTTTATGACTGATTAATGAAAAACATCATCTTTGCTCATAACACAATGCCACGTTTACTAGAAAGAAGAGGCGCTGTGGCTGAATTGACACCACAGGAGGCCCCAAAGCTTGCACCGATATCTGGAAACAACATGTCCTTGTAAAAACTTCCAGTCACACACACACACACACACCCACACACACTCACGCATACACACATTTGGGCTACCACATACCATATCCAAGGCATATATTGTGCAAAAAAGCAGATAAAAATGATTCTCAGTGCTCTGCATGTGCTGAGCACGAGTGCACGATTGCTATGATGTGAATGAAGTTCTCTAAAGGGCGAAAAGCATTCCCCTCTTCACCCAGTGTGACAGTTGTTACAGCAGATTGGATTAGAGCTGTCTGGGCTTGCTGGGGCTTGCAAGGATATGTGGTGGAAGGAAGTGTGCATTGCTGTGTGTGTGTGTGTATGTCTTTCTAGCTTTGTGTGAACATTTGTTTTTCTTCACTTTTTGCTTAAAACCATTGTGATAACCACTTGATTTCAGGGTTTTGTGTAGAATCGGGGTGTAGCTCACAGTGAGGTTTGGGTATGGGGTTGTTAAAAGTCAAGGTGAGGGGTAAGTGTCCTCACACTTATACAAAGCTGCTACGGCGACAGGCCTGGGCGCTGTGCTGAGTGTGCATGCATGTTCGTGGTTTTGCATGCATCAGCTGTGCGCGTATTAGTCATCTGTGTGTGCGTGCATGTGTGTGTGTGCACAGAAAGGCTCAGTGTGTATTTTTATGCCAGGTTGAGTAGAAATCCACCACACACATGCTGGGCAGGATTGGCTGTGTGGGTGGAGGGTGTGTCCCGAGCAGGATTCTCCTCGTGTCTCCATCTTTATTTGTTCCCAGATTATGTTACCGGGTGCTATAGTGACTGGTATAGTGACTGGTATAGTGACACGTTTTATTTATAAGTACAACGCTGACCTCTGCTGGAGGAAGTGATACACAATTGAGACATTGTAGGGTTCATATCTCCAGGAAAACACACTTCAAGTAAACATATTTAGGTGTATTTATAGGCTAAGTGTGTGGGGCGGTAGTAAGACGAGAACAACCCCTATGAAACTTGTGAGTAAGGCAGTGATTCTGATTCTGTTCATCTGGGCAAAAACCAAAAATTAAAAATTGAAGCTTTTGAAAACATGTCCCACAATTTTCAAGTTCTCTGTATTTACCAAAATTATTCGCTGACATTTTTCCGGTTACATAATTGTTTTCACGGTTCACTGATGGAGGGGGGGGACGTGGAGATTAACCACAGACTGCAGGTTTTGGTACAGTAAAGCGCCGTATTTATTTTCACAATCAGCGTGTTTAGTGTGTGTTTGGCCACTCGTGCACATCTGTGTTTATGGTGAGGTAAACACGCTTAAATCAACAGAAAATGCAAACTTTGATTCTAGTGTAAGCAACCAATTGGCTTTCCAGATAAATCACACGCCGGGCCGAAACTGCTGGGGGGGGTTGAGGGGGCCTCTTAACGTCTCCTGCCCCTTTACGCTCTGAAAAAATTTACTGCCGTTTAGATCCTAATCATTTTTGCTTCAGCTGTTGTCTCTAAGGGCTGCCTCTTTACTTTACAAGCACAACATCCATGCAGATTGGAAAGAGTTATGAGCCTTATGAGAAAAGATCCTCTCAGCACACACACACACATAACTATAATACTTTTGGTGTTTATTGTCTTCACTAATGAATGGTTGCGAGGCCAGCAGCAGTGTTTTCTCACCGCAGGCCTGTGGCTGAGCAGTTGCCTGAGGGTGTGATAGCATTGTGGAGTAACTCTAGTTTACACAAAAGGTAACTGCGTTCGCAGCGAGCTGTCAGTTTAGGCGGCAGCGCTTTACTAGAAAAACATTTCCAAGACACTCTAGTAAACTAACTGCGACTGTGCGCAGTCATTCTTAACATGCATTCATCCACATGCCCCTAAATGCCACATCCGCTTGCTTCTTCTCCCCCTGGTCCCGTGCATGCACAGAGCAACACACTGACCAGCGCCCCTGCCCACCCGTCCCACAGAGAGCCTCATTCACATGGTCATTAAGTCATTAGTGTACTTATTTATTGATGTCTGCCTCCAGAGTGACTGAGCATGTCAGACGACCTACAAACTGCCTGCGTGGGCCCATCCTGACCATATTAGTCCATTGTGTGGTTGTGTCTTCGCTCTTGGGTCGTTCATGTGTCGTCTGCAAGCTTTCGCTCCAGGACTGGACGTAGAGCTCGTCTTTCCTATACACTGAGCGAGTTACGTGTTTGCAGGATGCTGCTCTAATGGCTTCCAACCCTTTCAGAGCCTCCAAAGGCCCTTCAGTGTGCTGCCCGGAGCGTGTGAGTCATGTGATCGGGCCTGTAGGAAGTGCGTTTTGAACGTTGGTGTGTGAATAATTCGACTTGCCCGGTCGAAAATGAGAGGGTTCGCAGAGAAGAGGTAAGCCAGAGAGAGGAGGGCTGCAGAAGGGGAGGGAGATAGGGAAGGAAGAGGAGGAGGAGGGGGGAGGGAGGGAAGGCAGTGAGCTGCAGAGAGAGAGAGAGGGAGGGAGAGAGCGGGAGGGTGGGGGGTTGTCATTGGTTGCTCATTCCAAACTCTGGAAGTTGAGAAGGAGGAGAAGAGAAAAATAAGTTGCTGCTTTAAGAAAGAGAGGAGAGATAGGACAGGCAGAGCGTTTTGGATCTGTGACCTGCCTGGTGTGTGTGTGTGTGTGTGTGTGTGTGTGTATATATATATGTGTGTGTGTGTGTGTGTGTGTGTGTGTGTGTGTGTGTGTGTATATATATATGTGTGTGTGTGTGTGCATATATATGTGTGTGTGTGTGTATATGTGTGTGTGTGTGTGTGTGTGTGCATATATATGTGTGTGTTTTTCTTTTTTTTTCTCCCTCCCCACCTCTCCTTTACTCGGGCTCCTAATTTGGGATTTGTTTAAAAGCGGGACTGCGCCGTAGGAAGACTTTTCCTTCCTAGGGAAAGGGAACCCTGCTCCCTCTCTCTCTCTCTCTCTCTCTCTCTCTCTCGCATTTATTACACACACGCACAAACACACTTGACGCCCAAAATGTCTGATTCCACTGTCAACGCTCACTTGGAAGGGATCATATCAGACTTTGAAGGTCAGTTTGTTTCTCTCATGTGCTCTGCTGATTCTTCTTCTTCTTCTCCTTGTCACTGTGGAGTGAGGCTCTCTGTAACCCTGCCATGAGGACACTATAGATCATTTCCACATGTTTGATTGGAGCCCAGCGCATCTGGAAAAATGGAGGGTGTTGTGAGGGCTTTGTTGACGTCTGCGGTGAGCTGTGGTGTTTTTTTAGGGGAGGGGGAGTGAAATTTGTGAAAGTGTTGCTGCTTTTTAAACTGCTCTTAAACTTTTGTCGCGAGACGTGTTGAGCGAGTGTGTTTTATTCTGAAGTGTGAGAGAGAAATTTGTGCTTTTAAAGTAACTGATTTTTTTTCTCTTGCTTCTCTTTACAACAAACCCGTGTGACAGAAAAGGCAAAAAATGAAACTATACTTTAAGCGCTCAGGAAGCACGAATTGACCGTACGGCTGCGAGGTGAACACCTGGACCACCTCCCCCCTCTTCCTTTTCATCTCTCTGCCCCTGGCACACAGATTCCCCCTGTCATCTCTCCCCTCCCACTCGTCCTCTGGCTGTGCTTCCCCTTTCCCTCTCTCAGCAGCTTGTCCATTCACAGCTCCCTCTCCTCTTCCCCTTTTCGCCTAACCGGTGGTGGTTACAAGAGGGATGGGTGAGGGTCGGCAGGCCGACATCTCTCCCCCACGAAACCGTTTGCCTGTCTCACTAGATGCCTCCTGTCTCACAGCCATCAGGAACGCATCCACACTTGTCCAGAGCTGCATCTCTGTCAACACGAGTTTGCTCGTGGTATGTCCTGGGAATCTCTCTGCCTCGCTCTCTTCCTGTCTTTAGGTCTTTAAACCACCGGCTTACACAGTGCAACCGAGCGGAAAGATAAGTGGCGTTCAGAAAACAAGAGGTGTGCTCCAACCATGTAGCTCGAAGTCACGCTTTCAGACGGTCCTCGCTCATGTGTAACACCAGCATAATGGCCTACTGTTGGGGTTGTCAGTGGTGCATGTGTGTGTGTTGTCCGTGGTTGGGCTAACTGTGTGGTAATACCTTTGTGTCACCACCATGCCCCGTGATGTATTGCTCTGTGTGGCTCATTGAGCACAGCATGGCACCGATGCAGCACGGGAGTCCTGTGGGAGCCGATATGTATCAGGGTTGGAAAAAAAATAACTACAAGTTCTCCTCTTACTGTAAGTGATAAGATTTCATTATAATGAGCTCATTTGTTGGTACATTTTTTAACATTGTACTTCACTTGAGAACAGCCTTTGGGCAGTCTGCAATCAAAGGGGTTTTGATTTGAAATTTGCTGTAAGAGGAACTTTTAAAATCATAAGCAAGGAAACTTTAGACACAGGCGTCTCCCCCTTAAAGGTTAGATGATGCTTTTGTCACAAACTCTCCTTAAAGCCAGACTCTGTGACTTTAGAGAGAAAAAGTAACACACTTCTCAGACTGAAAAGATGAATTTTAAAAGCAACACAACACACCCTTTATTCCCTGAGGGGAGTTTAGCTGCCTCAACTTTACTTGGACCAGTGAGATCGAGTCAGCTAGTTTTATTTTAGCATAGTATATTACACCCCGCTTGTATCTCGTAGCCACAGTTTTAGCCTCCCCTGTCTCAGGTTTTACATCATTTTATGATACAAAGACCAGCAGTGGTAGTTTATTACTGTGTAATAAGAGTCTGTTGCCTTTTCTGCAATCTAAAGTGGCACGTGGTGAATGGTGTGCTGCAAGAACTTTTCACTGTAAGCCTCCAAAACAGGCCTGCATCCAAGCTTTTGGTCTTTTCCGGTTAAAAGACACAAGGCTGTGAAAGTTTAGGATTTAGGTCAGTTGGGGGTGATTTTAACCACCACAGACCACACCTACAAAGATTGGAAGAAGTTTGGAAAGCTTGCATTTTTCATAGTGATTTCACATCTCTGATCGGGTTTGGACCCATCTTTCCTGGGTTCAGACCTTAAATGCATCCATTGCACTGACTGGTACTGTGACATGAATCAGGAATTTCTCGGTTAAAAGACAGTCAGCCAGTTTAACAGCCAAGTAGTTAGCCAATCGACATGACTAACGCTGTTGTTGAGCTGTTCAAAAGTGTTGCAAGAGGTTTGGGGGAAATCAAACATGCTTTTCTACAGAAAACAGAGTTGAGACGACGTCAAGACTGAACATGGGAACAAAGTGTAATGAGCGCTGTAATAATAGGTTAACTTTACTTTATCTTATGTCAAATATGCTAATTATTAATATGCTGACAAACCCCAGTGCTCTGAGATACCATCTTCGGATTATGTTCTTTGCTTGGATGGGATGGAAAAAGAGTTTGCGCTGTGTAATCCGGACAGTAACAAGAACGTTATATGTATCAGTGTGTGTATCTGCCATGTCACTGGTGCTGGACAGTGAGTGTGATTCAGCCTGCCACGCCCTCAGCTGATGACACCATTGAGAGGCTGAAACAGACAGAGGAGAGGATTTACTCGCCCCTGAGGCTGGTGACCTCAGCTGTGACCTCAGCCTCCCTAACTGACATAGATCATTGACCGGGCCACTGGGCTCCTCTTCTGCGAGCAGATGGAGCACATGCACACAAACAGACACACATTCAATTCAGGGTCATCGCAAGAGATCTGTGCTGTCTTTTCTCTTGGGAAAAGTTGGCTATTTTTCTGTTTCATAGCCAGATATACCGTGATTTAGCGATTTCTGTCTACTACTCTTGTCTCTCTGCATCTCCAAACTGCATGTTAAGGGCATTTGCTTGTCCAATGAGAGGAAATTCCACAGGAGTACATTTCTGCGGTGGGTGAAAATGTCGGGGTAGGCCGGAGAGGAGGAGTGGATCAGAGCACAGCCGGGTTTCTTTTTTTTATGCATGGGGCCCAGCCTGCATGGCACTTTTTTTTTTGTTTTGACAGTCGGTGATAAGACAAAGGAAAATCTTATCTCGAGCTAAGAAAGCAGGCTTTTATAAACAACTGAAAGAAAAGCCTATAGATATATAGTATGCCTGGTATGTAATACAAAAAAAAGGTTAACATTTACAGAATTCGTGGGTTTCGTAGTCTCTGTTTCATCGTGTGTGCGGCAGTTTTAACAATCTGTTTCTAAATGAGGCGGCCCACCTTGTTCTGTGGGATAATTCTTGTTAATGGTGACAGAAAGAAATCCGACGAGGAATCATAGCAGGAACTTAAATGCCTGTCAAAATGAAAACAGTCATTATACAGTAAGCCAACTGCCAATTACATGTGGCTTTGGATTTTTTCAGGAACCGTGTTAGTTGGTGCTCTGTAGCCAGCAAAGCGTTGAAACTGTGCTACAAAGAAACAGATACTGTATGCTGGGCTAGTACGATATTGATTGCAAGCATTAAAGCTCAGTAGACACACTAAACAGAGAGTGTGTGAGAGGAAGGAAGTAACTTTCTGACAAAAGGCTGATGAGCCACCCTCAGGAGTCCCCATCCTTATCAGCACTATCAGGCTGCTCTGTATTCACCAGTTCCAACAGGTTTCCTGCTAATGACGCCAACTGCAGGGGTGCTGCTGGAAGCCACAGAGGGTCACTCTGCAGAGCGAACACAGCAGGTCTTTGTTAAGTTTTAAAACGAATCCTAGTTTTTTGTCCCTCCCAGTTGGACATGACGAGTAAAAAAGCTGCACCTATTCCAACCCTGGGCAAGATCCGAGAGTTATGAACACACTCCATGCTACAGCTAAAAACAGCTAGTCTTCGATGAAAGATTTTCTTTGACTAAAATGTTTTTTTTTCCTGTAAGGGAATGAATAATGTCTTTGACTGAGATTCGTTAAGGACCAAATGATACTATGCCAGCTCTTTCAAAGAAACATTTTGACCTGCAGGCCACCCTGTCTTTAAGAGAGGAGTGCAAAACTCAAGTGCTCGAAAACAGTGCTGTAAATAAAAAATGGGCATGGACAGCAGAATTCACTGTAACTCGTTTGTGTAGGCGTTTGGCTTTGCAGAGTGAAGGGTTATTTATATGCAACCTACAGACATGTGCTTACATACAGTTGTTAATAAAACAAAAGAAAAACAACAGCATGCAATGCTGATTGGTTAAAAAATGTGCAGAAGGATGCTATATGTCCCTCAATGTTATCTGCATCTTAGACATTGGGGGCAGGTGGATGAGCATTACTGTTCAGCAGCTGGCTTGTGTCCAGCTGATTCATCCTTCCTACCACTCCCTGCGAGGGGATGGAGGTACTTGTTGGTTCTGGGGCAACAACCATAGGTTTTTCCATACTCTTGGTTTATGTATCTATGTATTTTATGCAGTTTTTCTTACCAGGGTAGTTGGGGATTCATGATTATTTGTCCTGTTATTACATGCATTACTTGGCTGAAAGATGAGCAAAAACACAAGCAAGACTATCCTACACTGTCTTTTCTTATATATATGCTGCCTCTGGTGACAGTAAAAACTACAAGATGTACATAAATGATGGTCTGTAAAACTGTGTAGGACCGATGCACGGCCATGCTGCCCCTTAATGTCACCCAGCGTTTGGCATTTTGAAGCATTTACTTTAACACTTTTGTAGTTTCCATCTTGTTCTTTTGGAGCCAGCAGTGACCACATTTGGATGAGATGGGGGACTGTGAAATTTGGCAACTGTGGCTCAGATGATAGAGCAGGCTGTCTACCAATTGAAAGGTCGTTCCCAAACTCCTTCAGTTCACATTACCGAAGTTGAATGTGGGTTTTATTGGGTGAATGAGACTTGCGGTACAAATCAAGGCTTTGATGATCAGCTGCATAGAAAGACTATAAAATCCTGGTTCATATACCATTTACGTTGTGCCACTTGAAGAATTGGTTAACAAGCTGGGTGTGTGTCTGTATGGGGATATCACATCGATACATACATGCCCAAGTGGCGTAGTGGTTATCATGTTTGCCTGTTACGCCAAAGATCCCTGGTGAAAGACTGAGAGGAGATAGAAACCCAGCCTCAGGGAGGTGGAAGTTAGTGTACTCTTAGTGCCGGTCTCAGGGCCTCCCATGGTGGGAAGGTTGCATCAGGCCGGACATCCGGCGCAAAATCTGTGCCAAATCAAACATGAAGGTTTATCTGCTGTGGCTTCCCCTTGGGAAATAAGAGAGCAGTATCTAGTGCGAAGTAACAGGCTGCTAAAATATCTCTAAAGTTGAATCTAATGTTGTAAATTCTGCTTTAAAGTTGTAAAACTATAGACCTCAGACCTGGCTGCAGCATATCCACTCATTGTCAGCGTAACAGCACTCCGGTTTGACATTACTGAGCAGCTCCATTAACACAATGGGACTGACTAGTTGAATATGTTTAAAGTTAGTTAAATATCTCACATGCTACATTCGCATGGAGCCAAGTATTGCTTTTGTAGTTGGTTTAAACACCTCAGTAGGACTAGAAAGGTCCAAGCCAAGTAAAATTTCAGGGGAATAAGTGTAACTGATCACATGAAAATTGTAACAGGTAAACAGTTTAACCTGATTTGTCTTTCTTTGGCTGTGTTCTTTCTGCACATGGCAACCTCTGCAAGCTGAAAATTTGGTCTTTGATAACACTGCTTAAGTAGAATAAATACCTGCAACTTCTTCTTGGAACAGGTGATAGATTTCCACCTTCAGGGAGATGATCGTGAAGAAGATAAGATAAGGAAGGTGACCTTATCTTGTGGTGGAAGATGACTGCAGGCCATACTCATCACTTTTTTACGCGCTTTTCTACTTGAATGCGTTGGCACATGAGCGTGTTCAGCTCAAATCCCAATAAGCTGACCCAATCAGAACAATGTCAGGGAGAATGAAAAATATATATAACTGGATTCTTTTTGATGACCTCAGCTGTGTTTCCTGTGACTTCACAAAAAAAGTCTTCAGTTGAAATAAAGTAAATATTGTTTTTGCATTAGCAGGATCTTAATTCGGCAGGAAACAAGGACAGGGACTGCGGGAAGCTGCTGGGAATTGCTAGCAGACCAAACCACCAACTCTTCTGCAGCAACTGTATGATAAAGTAGACAGTACATGCACAGATACAAGGATTATAACTTACCCTCAAGCATGCTGGTACTTTGTCATGTGACTGTCTGTTTGGAGGTATGCTGGTGCTCTAATTAGGTTTTGTCAGCTTGCTCACTGTCAACCTCCAGATGACCAAACTACCTCTCGCTGACCTGTCCAGCTCATCCGCTGTCACGCTCAGAGATGCGTATCGAATGTGGTCCTCAGTCGGTACATGCTATGCTAGAGGAGAAGCGTCATGTGATTTTTCTGGCAGCTTAACTATGTTTCAGTGCACTACATGGATCCAGCCCATGTCTGACCGAGTGTCGGGTGGAAAACATCACGCTTGGCTCAGTGTCTTCCTTATTTGGCAGTTAAGGTTGTGAGAAGGGTTTCCAAGATTAATAGGACTCAGAAACCTGCTTCAAATTCAGCTCAAATGAGAGGTAAAAAGAAGGGGTTGCATTTTGTTCCCCGTTGGGGCTTATCAGTCAATATCTTTGCTCCGTTGGAAGGTATGTGATCAATGCTATCGCCTCAGAGCAGCAGCAGCTTGAAGCCATCACGCATGGGAATACAGCTAAAAACGTCACACGCGCTCAACGCCGTTCATGTGTAAACATGCAGGCACATAAGGAGTCACTGAGACATGCAGAAGTAATGGTGCCATCGTCTTCACACCAAAAAAAGGGATTAATCCCCACTGACCGTCAAAACAACAAAAAAAACCCAGTTGTGTTTGCTTTACTCAGCTGTGTTTAAACACACACGCACGCGCACATGCATGCACATCCAGTGAGAGATAACGCAGAGTAACTCAGCTGACAAGGCCACTGTCTCCACAGTGTCTGTGAGGACGTCACTGCGTTGGCTTTGTGTCACCACAGAGCGCACTTTCAGCGCCGTTTCAGGCAAACGGGTCATTACTGTTTATCAAACCAGCAGCCAGATGCAGTTTTAAGTCATCTTTGGCGTCTATTTTGTGCTTACTTTTACTCCTCGGCCTCTATAAACAGAGCGAGTCATGTCCACTAAATTAGCCGCTTCGTTAATGGTTCCCCTCCTTTCCATTTCTGACAAGAAATTCCCACCGCATTCGATTAATTTTAGTATAACTTCAGTGTGACTAGTGTGCCATCTGTGTGCTTGTACTTAAAGAAGAACATCAGGCATTGCTACCCTTTCTTCTGAGAACATTTCAAAGGCCAGTTTTCTCATTATTTCTACACAAAGAGCTTGTTGTCAGACACAGATGAAATGATCGCAGCGATGTATATTTCATGCTTTAGCAACTCAAAAGGTCATTACCATTGCAGACAACCAGCTAACCCAGCACCTCGTGGTGGGCGGTGTTATTTGTTAGTTTCTTCTCGGTACACGCTGTGATATCAGACACAGAAATCTGCAGAAACATATCGAGGATGTGGAAACACTGAGTTGGGGGAAAGAGAGGATTCTCCCATGCTGGTACTTGGCTCGTCAGCTTTGAAACACGCCAGATGCCTGATCGGGCTCGGGTGTTTATCTGGGACAGGGGCTGTGTTGGTCCAGATTTTAGTGGCTGCTCTTGTCTCTGGGCCGAGCTGAGGTGAGCCAGGTGTCACCATCGACATCTGACATGCAGCTCACTGCAGTGAGGAAAAAATGCAATTTATCAACCAGTAACAACACAGCTGCTGGTGAAATACTGACTCATTCAAAAGATATGGAAGGGGCTTACTAGTTTGTCAATATACACATTTGGATTTTTCAGAGCAACTTTTGCTCTGTAGCCTTCCTCATCTTTGTTTTCAGGAGCCAGAATTGACTATATTTAGAAGAGAGACTGATGTGCTAAGTCATTGCATAGCTACCAAACTGCCTGTATAGTCACATATTTTATTTGTACAACATTTTTATTTACTTATTTTTATTTTATTCTTATGATTTTCTAATATATGTCTTATTGACTTTTTCTTTCTGACCCTTTTGTTGCTGTAACGTGTCTATACCATTAAAATGCTAAAATTCCACTCACCAAAGCAGGATCCAAGTTTCTTTGGCATCTTTTCTTGAACTAACAAAACTTCAAAACATATTACTTGCTAAATTCAAAGTAGTCCAAAGGTTCCGAGGCTTAGTTTGGTGTAGAATAAATGGCAATATAACATAAAGTAGATATAAGAAAATATTTCTATATTTCATTTTTAGTTTATTAGTGAGAGTTTTGTTTTAAATAGATCCTTTAATAAAATCTATGGAAGCTTATTTTGACTACTGGGGAAAAATATAAGTAAGTCAAAATTTCAGGTTATTATATCAGTATTTCGACTTACTAATTCAAACTTCTAAGAAAATCATTGTAAATTGGGAAAAGTTTTATTATGTAAAATAAAAAAATAAATGCAAATTCCAATCTGAATTTTGAGATATAGCAGATATAGCAAAAGGGAAATTTTCCCTATGGCAAAAATAAAATAAAAAAATAAATAAATTACAAAATCTTGATACTTCCGGTAGAACATACGTCAACGCTTCAGAATTAAGTGTCACGTGATCAAGCTGGGCTCTGACGACGTCATCCTGATACGCTGTTCTGGCTACAGGTGCGCGAGGCTCGCAAGAGATGTGTAGGTAGCCGGTTAAACTGAACTCTTTCCTTTCAGTGGCTGGGTGTGAGTGGAAAGCTCGGCAATCCTATTAAAACGTGCTTGGTGGGGAAAAAGAAGTATCTTTATCGAGTGAATTAAACGCCATGTTATCGCGCTATATGAAGCGTGTCAAGTCGAGTAAGATGAGTTTCTTCTGGATTTTCTTTATTTCATTTCAGTGGTTTGTTAGCTAACCAACTCGTTAGCTGATATCCTTAACATTGCGCGCTGCATTTCGTTTAATAACTTATATGTTTCCGATAAAATTGATTATTTTCTCTATAGGTTATTGTTCAGCATGTGTTTTTGCTATTATTGTTTAAACCTTTGTTAAAGTGGTAAACCTGAGGACTTCCAGGCCTCTAGAGCCTCTGGTTTTTCTGCAGTTTCCCCAGAACTTTTCAGCTTCAAAGAAAAATGTAATGAGTATTTGAAATAAAATTTATGGTCTAAAACTAGGCCATTAAGTACCAGAAATGGATGTAGGCTCTATAGAGTCCTGCTACAGGGTTGGAGAGGAAGTGATGAGCATTATTGTGTCCTCTGGCTCTCATGTTTTCTTCTTTATTTGTGCTTTTACTTTCTTTTTGCTCCATATGATAACACTGTAATGGTGCAACAGTGATTTAAGTCCATATCTGTCAGCTCAGGCTGTTGTTTCTTATGTAACCATGTTTGTTGTTTGTCTTTCAGCGCTGAAACGCTCGTTTGAGGTGGAGGAAGCGGATACATCCACACACCCATCGCCCCTGACTCGCCGGACCACCAACCCCCTCCGCTCATCCACCTCCTCCACATCCAGCCAGCGGAGCTATGACTTGAGCTCCCGCAACTCTGATTACTCATCCACCAGATCTTCACCCTCTGAGTCCTCCAGTCTACGCTCCCCGAAGACCGGCATGAGGCGCATTGAGTTGTCAGGGGGTCGTAATGCTGATACAGCCTCTTCCCGCCGTGCCGAGATGTCCATTGAAGTCTCCTCCAAGCAGATAGATAGCTCGCCCAGTGCCGGCATCACCCGCTTTGGGCTCAAACGGCCGGAGGTCAGCCTGAGCAACAGGAGCACCTCCCTGGAGAGCTCCTCCAATTCCTTCTCAAGCACCAGTAGCAGGCGAGGGGAGCTGAACATGACGAGGACCCACGAGCCACCTGCCCCTCCCCGGAGGATCGACTCCCAGATGGCCTCAACCCCGGTGTCTAGGATCCCCGAGCCTCCCCAGAGAAGGGCGGAACCCCCGTCGCCCAACCTTAGCCCAGTTGATGTGGCCTTCAAGAGGCCAGAGGTTCCTGTGGAGAACAACGGCCACCAGCCGCCTGCACCCGTCACCCCCCTGCCTTCACCTGCAGAGCACCGGGTGGAGAGGGTGCAGTCGCCTGTCACAGAGGCGTCCGCAAGCCGACCAGCAGACAGTGAGTACCTGCTCAGTTGGGCTTGTTTTCCAAACTAACCCCTGTTTATGATTTATAGAAGTAAACTCCTCAGTGAGATCAAACAGTTTGTTTCTGATTTCTTTGTTTGTTTGAAAGCGCCACCATATCTGATTTTCACTTGTTTCTTCCGCTTGACTGTTTCTTCTTAATTTTATCTTGCAACACACTCATAGTCATGTTAAGAGGAGGCATACAGCTCACAGTCCTTGTGAGCTTGTCATTATAGACTATCTAAATGTAGGTCAGCGAGGGTGATGATGAGAATCCCAGAGCTTCTCCCAGGACAGCGGTTACAAGAAAAGACTCAGGCAAGCGGTTGAATATGTTGGTTCTCCCTGAACTTAAGTTAAAAACTTATAGCACTCACAGTCTGGTTGAAGCCTTTGTAAGTTCAGACAAGCAGGCAGTTGTAGTTAATTTGGTCTGTTATTTTTATAAGATGCATGTGACGCGGGAGGAAGTCTGGTAGCCGCTGTTTTTTGACCTTTGCGTGCGGTTTGTGATTTCTTCTCCTTTTTTTTTTTCTTCTATGTATTCTCTGGATTTTTGTGACATAAACTCAGTAGGATATTTGCGCAAGTGAATTTATCCCTGTCTAGACCACTCAGAGGCTTTACTTTTCACCCACAGCTGACTAACCTCTCAGATGTGGTACAGGGATGATGCCAAGCCCAAACTCGAGCGTCAGATGTTTTTCTAGTAACTTGTGCCTTTAAGTATTGGTTTTACTGAGGGAGAAACAGTCACTTTTTGGACTAACCACTCAACCTGACCAGTTCAAGTGTTTGATGTTGATCATAACATGATTTGATGGAGGACTTTTTAATTTGCTTGACCATTTTTGAGCAATCGATCAGGGGAAAGTGATGACAGAGGTTGGTTAGGCAGCTCATCCAGCATGTTGGTTCATACCCAAAGATGACACATTACTGCCTTTGAACTTTTTCTTATGTTCTTTTTCTTTCATCACATTATCAGGGAGAATTTAGCGCTACAGTAACACTTTCCCAAAAACTGAAAGTGGATTTCCATGAGGCACTTTCTGGATATGCCTCATCATTAATGGATTAATTAAACCTAATGTTTAAGGTTAACCTATGACCTTTTCTTTACTGCCACTCTCAAGTCGAACTGCTCCCCCCCCCTTCGATATGTTTGTTTAACCCTGTGCTTTAATAATAAATGTCAGCCTTTGAAGTGTCTGTTTTCAGTTTTTGAACTGTCATTGTATGCTTTGGTTTTTTTTTTTTAGTTTTTTTTTTTAATATTCTTCTTGGCTCTTGGTTTAAATGGAAGAAAGCATGTGTATTTGTGCAGGACGTTTTTTGTTTTTCAGTTTATCGCTTATTTTTGTTGTTTGCTTTCCTATCTTGTCTAACTAAAACAGCGCATCGCTATACTGGTATGTGTGTGTGCGCCTTTGCTATCTGGAGACAGCTGTGCTCATAGGTTGCTGTCACTGCTTAAGTAGCATGCAGGCGTAGGCGGCTGGGAGGTGGTACATTCCAAATCTGGAGGTCATAAAACATTTTACATAAAAATAGAAAGCCTCCAATTTCCACTTTTTTACATGGTGTCTCGCCTGTTTTTGACTCTGTCCACTGTTTTTCCCTTGCAGGCAGCTAGAGATTTATTTTGGTTGTCCTTCTACCTAAAGATATAAAAGACCTTTAAAACTTTTGTTTCTTAGATACCAGCATTGTTGTATCATTGAGCACATGTGCATTCTAATTATGTAAAATAAGCAAGGAAACGGGAGAGGATTAGATCTCAGCTTCTGCCACATTTGGCTCAGATTACACACTTCCTGCTCAGCCATGCATGTGGTGGGAGGCCCTGCAAGAAGCTTGGGAAGCTTCCAGCAGTGAGCAGATAGGAGGCGGAGAAAGAGTCTAGAGTTTGTGGACAAGAAGGAAAGAGAGAGCCAAATGCATGGAGATGTGAAGCGTGGATAGAGACGATGTGCTTCCTGTAGTTTGTCTGCAGGGAGAAAACAATATGAGAAAAGCCCACTTTGGCATCCCGTCATTTGGAAATAAATCTAAACAGTTAGACCACACTGGTTCAACATCGTGCCCAAAACCAGATTTTAATTACCATTTTCTCAACAACTCCACACAGCTTTGATGCAGGCCAAGCATTTGTTTTTGTTGGTAAATATTTTGACTTATTTTGGAAGGGGAAAAGGGGAATGTTTTCAGTTTGTTTACTTCTGTTGCCGCCTATGTCAGGTCTGCATCCAGTTGGGTGTCAGTGTTTTTTCTGAGACCCATTAGATTATTACTTAAAGCCTCTTCTGATTTATATGAAGTGGGACGTACTCACCTTCGGGTGTCAGCTCATGTATGTACATGCCATGAGCGCATACATTCATCCTTGTGTGGATGACGAGGGTTAAGAATGCCTCACGCCCAGGGGAGAGTGACTGATGGACATGCTGATAGGTGATAAGAAGTTTTGTGGTGGCTGTTCGAGAGCACAGGAGGTAGTAATGACATGCTTTGTGTCGGCTGATTTGTCGCCTGTAACGATGAGCAGCTGTATTCAGTCTCAAGCAGGATGTGATCTCATGTTTACCCACAGAGAGACACACACATGCACACTCATTGTGTACACAGCTCAGTTTCCTGTTCCTGGCCTTGACCTTGATTTGTTTTGTCATGGATGCTGCGATACATATTGCAGAGTCAGTCAAATAGGCTTTGTTTTGCATAAACTTAATATGAAAAAAAACTTGCAGTATTTCCAGATTTAGATTCAGTTTGTGGGTTGGGATGTCTGTTTGCATGCAGTTTCTCCTGCAAAAGTTTTATTTGCAAAGGGCGTTATGAAAAATATCTGGGAAATTAGTCAGCTGCTCTCACCGTGCATATTAATGAATGATAGCGAGGATTGCCACAACAACAGTAGGCACCTTTTCAGAGAACCAGCTGCTATGGAAAACTTGACAGGAAGTGGGTTTGCTAACACATTTGCAGGACTTAAAATTTGAAATAGTAATCTAAAGAAACTCTGTATGTAGTGGAAGTGTGTTCAGCATGTATGCTTTGCTCCATGATTCACAAACAGCTCAATGTAAAGGGGCAGTTCAGAAGATTTCTTTTTTTATTGTCAATGCAGGCATCTTTACATGGACAAAGGGATGATCACAGTTCAAGGCAATACAGAGTCTGTCCTATAAATTTGTATCTGCTGCTTATATAGCGCAAAAGAAAATACAGTGAGTATGTGTTTCATGTGGAAGGACTGTGTAAGAAAAAAGAAATGCACATAAATGCAATAGAATTCAAACTGTGGATGCAAAACAATGCACCCCTCAGTAATGTGTTTTTGAGGGGGATACTGATTCTAAGTTTAAATATCACATTTATCTGCTGATGATGATGCCTGCAGCCATAAACAAACCACAGAAGTATCTTTACACCGATCTGTTAGAGGTTTTGCGACATAAATTGATATTTAACAATTTAAAACCTGTTGGAGCTCTATGATTAACTATTGCATGCAAATTCATTTTCTATATGGCTCAAAGCCAGTTTCTCCTTACTTTACTGCAATTTCTTGCTGTTGACATACAGCACACAGCTGCGTAGACCTTATATAGGATGTTGATTTATTGGTCTGTTTCTCAGAGAAAACAACAATGGAAGACCAAGGCTTGAAATCCCTTTAAACCTGCTGCTCTGTGATTGTCATACATTAGTTTAGCCACTGTGATGCATACAAACAACAAAATAATATCACCACTGGTATTTCCTGTCTTTTTGCTTTAAAAAATGATAAATAGCATTATTTAAAAATTATAAGTGGTTAAGTAACAATGTTAATCAGTGCATATTACATTTGGTGTATTTTAAATTTTACACCATTCACTTTTATTTTTTAATTTTTTTTGTGCCTCCAGTCTTCTTTGGATGCCTCACTCTGACAGCAGCGAGTTTGTATAAGTGTCTTTTAAAATGCATTAACCTAATGAGAAGAATTTTCACATCAGATTATGCATAAATACTAGAAAGTTTGAAAGGAGAAAAAGCACAAGAAAAGTTTGAAGATATTCTGTTATATGCTCTTATATAATCTACTATTTTAGATTGTCTGCTGTGTCTTGCCTCCTGCCATTGATTTACTTGCATTTCCTGCTACATTTTTTTTGCTTTTCTCAGGCCATCCTCTGCTTTTTAAAGGCAACCTCAGTCCAGCTCATTCACACTACCACAGGTCATTTTAAATTAAACTTAAGTAGTCAAAAACTTCGTAGTACAGGTGTTTAAAAATAAGTTAATAACCTGTGGTTCACAAAGCCATTTTTAGGCCAGAATTAAGTATGTCATACCTTGGCATGATGGCAAGTGAATGCAAGTCAGCATTAAAAAAAACAGGGCAAGTTATTGTTTTATTTGGCTGGATGCATTCGTTTGTTATGATTGACATTTAGATCTTTCCCCAAAAAATCTAAAATAGAAACATTGTAGAAATATAGATATCTCCATGTCCTGGCTGCACGTCACACATTCATTGTGTAGCATTGAGCTTAACAGCTTGCACTTCAGCAAGCAGCTTGAGGTGAATTAGTTTAATTTCTCTGCACAAACAGCACATAAAAACATCTTGAAAAAATAGCAATACCATATTAGGATTTTACACAACTGTTAATTTACAAAAAAAAGCTGTTTTGGATGCATGTTTTAAGGCACTAAATAAAATATAAAATACATAAAACATTGGTTGTAAGAAAATTATCCAGAAAACAACCAATCTCAAGTAATAAGAGCTAATTTATATAAAAACTGATTACCACGCTTCAGTTAAACAAAACTGATTGTCCTGTTATGTCGCTGTCTTATGTTTTGCTTAAGGGATCACACCAGTTCTTAACTGGCCTGAAGACAATTTCTATTTTCATGAAATACTCCGTTTAAAAAAGGCGTTTTAACTGTTGTTTAATAAGCTGTTGAGCCACTGGGAGCCATAGCTACGACACGTTCCATAATACTTACTGCCTGCCTTACAGCTAATGATTTACGTGTTGTAAATAGTGAATATCAAAGGTGTTTTGTTGATTACACCTCTCTAATGCAATCTGTCCATGTGCTATCTTCCCTGAAGAGGTGTGTGTTTATGTAGGTGTGGAGCCAAACACGGAACTTGCAGCATCATGCTGAAATGCATCCCATGCCGTGCACCTGCTCCCTTATTGTTAATGAGGTCTCTTGGATTGTGAAGTATTTAACATAATTTCTTCTGCTACTTGCTTGAAACTAAAAAAAAAAAAAATCCATTATGTTTTGGTTAACAAAGGAACACAGGAAGGGAACAAAAAACCTGTTGATGCAGTGAGATCTATTTGCTGATTTTAAAGTTGCTTAAAGATTAACATAGTAATTGAGTGTGAGCTTCATGCACTGGGGCGTGAATTTAGGACAGTAATGACACATTAGGCAGTTTTCGCTTTATTATGCGTTTAGTTTTATGTAATGTGATGAAAGGATGTACAAAGAGGAAGTATGAAAGTGAATCCACAGCAGCTTTATTTTTGGATATTGGGTGGTTTTTTTGTTTTGTTGCGTGTGTGTGTGTGTGTGTGTTTGTGTGTGTGTGTGTGTGTGTGTGTGTGTGTGTGGTATATATTTTATATAAACACCTATGCGTTTTGAATTTGCATAATTTCATTTACAAAAATGAAACCTGTTAATGTTGTTAGCAAAACTAAATTAACGAATGTGCATGGATTAGGTGTCATTAATCGATTACTGATTCTTCCTAATCCGAATCACCTCAAGTCATAGCAGAAATTGATGCTCTTCTGCTTTCTTCTTACAAAATGGTGGAAGTAGCTGATCAAATGTGTCAGCTTTCAGACTTTTAGAGACGGAACAAATAAGTGTCTGTTTGTCATTAAAACTTGGCTCTGGTCTCTTCACTAGAGAGTTCTTTGTACTACTATTTTTGCAAAGCTGAGCCTGCAACACTTTTAATGATGAATCATTATCTTATGATCTTTTGGGTCTTGTGGTGGCCCTCTGAGTGCTATCCTCTTTTCACCGCATTAAAACAGTATTTATCTCTTTCACTCAAGCATAAAGGCCTTTTGATAGTTCTGCCTGGGACTTGGCTAGAAACGACGACTTGTGCATGTCACAAGGGATGGAAAGGATTTATCCCTGACCCCCAAAAACGTCTTGTGATTAGAAAAAAGAGAAACACCTGTCTCTGTAATTATGCACATCTAACTTTTAGAAAAAAATTTAGGTTTAACAAACACAATTTTTGAGTCTTTTTCACAGGATGTTCTTCATTAAACTTTAGACCCACTTACAGCTTAACACACATGACATTTATTCATTCAGGCAATTCATATTTTGCAATCTTGTGCAAACAGCTGAGACAGAGGTGCGGCTTGTTTGACTAGATATGCTGGAGCATTGAAAAGCCTTTGCAGGGCAGCACTTTATCATGAACGATAAGGCCGTTACAGAAGACTTTGTACAGTTTTTTTTTAAAATGCATTTACACACCAGGACCTTTAATCCCAGCAGGTGATATCCAGGCCAGTCTGCGGCATGTCTCCGTATAGGCGAGGTCTGCAGGATTTTAGCTTGAACCCTTAAGAGTCAAACCTTAGTACATACATATAAAAAATTAACACTGATCCCATGGATTTCTTCCTTTTTCCATAAATGGACATTTAACACTGCTCTGTGATTATGGGCTGGTGAATACATTGTTTCTGATTGACTCAAACCCAGTTCATCACTGCTTTACAAAAACGTCTGACCACATGAAGTACAGCACATTAGTACCAGTATCTCTGCAGTGAGCTCTTACAGGCTCATGTCTGTTTTCAGCAGAAGACAGCATAGAGATGAAGGACCTGAAATACCTTTACATCTACTACTATATGATTGTTTTTACTAAAAATCTACCTTTAAGTATACAGTACGGACATCACTAGTCTGGTATCTTATTTTGCCTTTTTTTATTTAATAAAAATCATTCAGCTATTATTTGAAAGGGCGTATGTACAGGTTAATTTAATATATCTATCTTAAATTTTGTTTCAATATCTTTATTCCCCCCAGGGTGAGGTTCTTGCTTTCTCAATTTCATCCTGCATAATGAAGCGTGCTTGCACTCCTGGGGCGATTGTCATACCTGACTCGTACTCATACACATCATAAAACATGTCCTGAAAATCAGTGTTTTCTTTGAATTTTGTTGCCCACTGCCACTGCCACCATTCATGGTTTTTTGTGGCTTTATTTTCAGAACTATAGAAGCCTACCCACGCCTTTTTAAATTCAGACGTCCAGTTATGGAAAGACTCATTCACTATTAAGCGAGCGCAAGCCTTGCCGTCTTTTGCAAAGAGTTGCAGGTTAGCATCATAACCTGGTATTTTCACAGCCCTGGGGTTTTTAAACTCACTGCCTCTGTCTATCTCATCTCCTAATGATTTCCAGAAGCAACATACAGTCCTGACCTCATGCAGTCGTGCTTGAAGGCCTTCATTCAGGGGTACTGATGTATCACAAATGCCCGACTCTCTGTTCCCAATAGATTTATAAGTGAGAGCGTCCTCTTCCTGATCATTCTTGTAAAGTGCCACCATCACACCTTCTTTAACAAGATGTCTAGGAACATCGCTCCAAATAATTCTGGCATTTCCCCTTTTTCCAGTTGTCACCTTCAGTCTTATCTCATCTCTATGATCCACTTGAATTTGTGCAAACATTCCAACAGGATTATTATGCCTGCTCTCTGGGATATTGATCACAAAATCAGTTTGTGTGTTCCTTCTTGGTGCTGGCTGAGGTCTGTTGTTGCGTTTGTGAGTGGAATATTTCTCCTGGATCACAATAAACAAAAACAGCCCAAGACAAGCAAGCTCACCCCATGTGTTTCTTATCTGCCATAGTTGGGAATCATCAGCACTGCTTCCAAAGCGGTCTCTGAGATACGTCAGTGAGCTCATGTCATTTTCTTCCACAGAAAACTCTCTGATCTCCGTCAGCAGATTGGTAGTCACCTGATATGTATGCTCTGGATTATACCTCGTGCCCTGATTTTCAGATTGCTCATAATGCTGTGTGATATACACTTGATCGATCCTTTGTGAAGTTTGGCGTCCCACGTTCTGCTCTCTGACCCTGAATATGATCCTGTCCCTGTTTCTCGCGGGGTACTCCGCCCGTGGGTGGATGACATAATATGGCATTGGCAGCGATGTTTGTTGATTGATGTTGCCAACAGTGTAGTATCGGTATCCCCTCGGCAGTGGGTCTAACACCCTCTCGTAGTTTCCGTAATGATGTGAGCCGAATTCTCCACTATTTGGCTCAAAGGTCAGCAGGATGATGTTGTTGTTGTCGATGTCAATTTCATTAGCAAACCAGTGGAGCAACAGGAGGCTGTGTTTGGGCACCGTTTGTCCAAAGTCGATTGACTTTAGATCACTGATTGAATTCAGTGCCCGTTTTCCAGCTAACACAGAGGTTAGGGTCAGGAGGAGAGCCACACAGCAGCTCGTGATTCTTCCTGTCTTCAACATCCTGTAGAGAGATTTAAGAGTTGGTGGTTTCATTATTCATCTAGACTCTACATCCTCACCTTACACTTGTTCATATTTTGATGATCTTTTTCCTGGTGGTCTTTAAACATTAGACATGTTCATATAAACAGTGAAACAGGTTTTGCCAGTTATCTTTCCTTTGGCTAATCCCATAATGCAGTGTTGCCTTAAGTTAACATGAGGATCGTGTCTCAGTGTGTTTTTCATGAGCCAGATCATTTGGTTAAACAACAGGAGTGCGCTTTCCTGGCTCGTCATTGAGTACAAATTCTGTTTTTGTTTTTGCTTTTTCTTTAAAAGTAAGCCAGGAAGTTTTGAACCAAGCTTTATATGTGGGCTCATGAACTACTGGAATTATTGAATTTAACTGCATGAGTAAACCTGAAATTTTTTTTATTTTTTTTTTTAACAAACATGAATTCGAAAACATTAACACCAATGTCTGTATTATTTTTAATACTGAACATACTTGGCTGTTTGCTACAATTCTAATGACACTGTTCCTCATGCAATGTTTATGATAACTGCCTTTGTCAAATGAATAAATGATCCACAACACAAGCTGCTACAAAGTGCTCTGTAGACTATCAGTGTAATAAAGACCATTAGAACCAGTGAATTGCATAACGTCCTGCTTCAAATAGAGAAAATGATTCTGTGGGTCAATAAAGCTGTAGAAAGTGAGGTAAATATTAATTGTGTGGTTGTCTTTTATGATAAAGGATATATTAGAAGTACATAATGCTACAAAAGACTGTCAATGTTCAATTTTTGTACCTTGCTACATACAATACTAAAATAACGTGAGAAGCAGAGAAGCCTTCACAAATAAAATCTAGAGTTAATCAGTCACAAATTCATTCAAAATCCCACCAAAAAGTAAGAGGGCTTACCTGCGTTAGTCTGTTGCTGTCATGTGTCTGAGCTCTTTGTTTGTGTAGGAGCAGAGGTAACTCCCTTTAGGTTGCTGTTTCCGTGTAAATGAAACCAAAGCAGCCAGCAAGGCTGGTACTAACAGGAAGTTGTCTGCATGAAACCACCTCCTGTAATAGCGAGCAACAGAATACTGTTTCAGCATTTTAGCTGGGTTTACAGCCACGCTTCTAGATACAAACACTGATTATTTGTTGGGAGAGTGACTGAGACAAATTTGGTTAAATATTAGTCAGTATTGCCTGAAGCCTTATCAAGTCTATCAGGTCTTTGTAAGTACTTTTCTATGCATGTGTCACAACTCTTGACCGCCTAGAGTGGATTGAAATACTTGCACATCAGTGTCTTAATATTTATTCACTTTTTTAATATATGTATGTGTATGTGGAATACTAGCCTCAAACACTTGACTTCTCTTTTTTTTTTCTTCTTCTTCTTTTTTGGTCGTTTGCCATCATTAGGCAACAGAAAGAGTCACTTGGTTACCTGCTATTTGTTATTCACTATGTTGTGAAACATGGAAGACGTGCAACGAACGAAATCCCAGATGGATTTAAAGCAAGTGAATCATACATTGTTTTTAGGTCAGTAGGTCACCAGGACAGTTTTTTTTTTTTGTTTGTTTTTTGTTTTTAAAATTTGTTTAGTTTATGTTTGAGAGAATATAATATATCTAATACAAACATAATGACACTTCTGCTTCAAGGCAGCTACGCGTTAATACACTTAGCTCAGTAATTATATTACATTTACAATGTTGTCTTTACTTGCGTTGCAAAAGTTCTTCAGTTATCTGCATATTGAATGGATAGAGCGGATAAAAGAAATGGATGTGAATTGATTTCGTGTGCTTGAGAAGCAAAATGGAACAGACATGCATTTCATACACCACAGGGTAAACTGCACCCATGTCAGAAACAATAGCATTATGCTATTAACACATCATCAGCTCTTTGCAAGCATCTGAACAGATGACATGATAACACACAGCTAGCCAAGAACACATCGTGATCATAAAGTTGACTCTATGCTGACCCCAGCCCAGCAGCCAGAGCCTGGTCATATAGCCTAGGCACTGATGAGCCTTACATTCTACGCATCTGCTTGTTTGTGTTTCTAAAGTTGGTTATGACACATCACAAAATAACCATTGCACACTTGAAAAAATGGTTTAATGAACACACACTTTTCAAGATGACAGAAGAAATACAAAAAACATCTATAAAATGCATGTCTTATTCAAGATTCATCGATCAGAGCAATTGTCCTTTTTTCTTACAAATCTGTGGCGAGCTATTATATCATACACAGTAAGCAGAATTTTATGTAGTTCAAATGCTAAAAAGATATTTAGAAATCCCAAACATTTCATTACAAGCATTCTATGCAAGATTTAGAAAGCAAATCCATACAGCACAAAGTAAAATTAAACAGATGGCTGCAAAGCGTACAATGTAACAACTCCTGCTGGATTTTTGTTTCCATGTTTAATTAAACATCCTGCTGGTGGTCGGGGCCTTTTCTTGGTGAACAGTAAGGCGACTATAGCTCGGTTCAGTTGATATCTAGAGCATGTTGTGCCTCTTTGTGTTATTTACTGGTTTGAAGGCAAGGCAGTGTGCTAATGTGTTTAAATATCAGCGTTTACTCAACAGTCATTCAAAGTATTTTACGAAATTGGATTAAAATAACTTTATTTTTTAAGAAAATATATGTATTAAAAATGAATTGATGAATGAACAGAAAAGTATGATTAAAATTTAAAAATGTTAAAAAAATATATAACAATGATAGTAAATATCATTGAACACCTTTTTAATGAGAGCAGTTTATGTGATGTGACATTGATGAAATCCTGATTGGAAAATTTCATAGTAGAAATTTGTTTTCAAGCAGTTACTTAATCGTAATACGTAATCTTGCCAATAAATGGAAGATTTGAAATAGGCCAATAATTACTAATGGCCTCACTATCTGAATTTGTTCTTTTTGAAAAATACAGTCTTCACTGATGCAGAAGAAATACCAGGAAAAAACGTTCAGGAGCTAAGGTGCTGAAAAAAGTAAAAACTTGCTAGGAGTGTATCAAGACAGCAAGTAAGAATAATGATGTAACAGGATTCTGTAGTCGGTAACAGTCAATTCTAACAGAGAAGCTCGATTTAAACTATGTGCTGATGTTGATTTTAGTTAAATTAGTCCTTGCACACGTATGTTGGAGAAGCCCTGATTCCAAAGGTGCTATCTCATGGTTGTTGTTTCCTTGTGTTGCAGCCTGCAATAGGTGATTTAGGTTAGAGTTGTAGCTTTTCAGAGGCCTGTACTATGAAGCAAGTTCTACACACCCAGGGTATCTTTCTGTTATTTGGATTTACTTACTCTAACATCAGCAATTGAATAAACAGTTACACGAAGCTAGTTATCAACTCATTAACTCCAGGGTTTCCCCTGCATGTTCACATAAAACGGTTGGTCAGATGCTGCCAACACCAATCTAAAAGGGGTGTTTCACGGGTCATATGACTCGTCCTCCACACAAAATGATCCCTACGAGTGTTGCTATCACAGACCTTATCAGATGATGATAAATGTTGATCAAAATTATGCAAAGAACATAAACTGTAAAATGCAACACTGTTGCAAAAAGGATGAGAGAAACTCATTAATCTTGTGACTTAGTGCATTGAGTGGTAAAGTAAACATTTTAATTCACATTAATTATTTTATGGCTGAGTGCATGCTCTGTGCTGTTGATTATTTCTAAGGTGATGGATGCACATTACAGCTGTTTACACTAGATGCATTTGAACATTAAAACTTACTGTCCCACAGGCTAATAAAGGAGATGTTGAAATGACTTCAGTTTGTCTGCAGATCAAAGTGACTTTGATTTGATTTGTTGAATAGGTATTCTTGGTGTTTTTCTTTTTGTGTCCCAGTGGCTGTATTATAAGATTTAGCAGCATTTAAAGTGAAGTATAAAAACATTTATACAATTTTATTTATTTATTTTTTCAATGTTACTATGTTTACAGATTTTTAATCACCATTTGATAATGTCTGGTTTAGGTTGCGTAGGGATCTTTTTGTGTATATGATCTATGAAATGCTCCTTTGAGATCAATCAGATGCTAAGACCACCCTTTTCATGTGAAAGAAGCTGGGAATTAACTTGGCAAGTTGATAAACAGCTTCGTATGACTATGTATCCTGATCACCAGTGAATCCAGGTAATTGAAAGATACTCGGGGTTTGCTTCATAGTATAGGGCCAAGCCTCTTGACAACAATAAACAACAACCATATGTTTGTAATGTCCCATAGCTGGTAATCATGATCGTTTCTTCAAAAGTGGTCTCTAGAAACCTTTCTGATCACTCTTAAGAGGCTGGTAATGACCTGAAATTAAAATCTGCTGCTAACACTTGTCTCTACTTTCTTTCTTTGGCTTTTTAAAAAACATTATTCAATCAGTATTTAAAGGAGTAAATTTCTTCATTCAGCCCAGGGTGAGGTTCTTGCTTTCTCTATTTCATCATGCAGTATGAAGCGTGCTTGCACTCCCGGGGCAATTGTCATGTCTGACTCGTACTCGTATACATTATAATTGTCCTGAGAATTGTTTTCTTTGAATTTTGTTGCCCATTGCCATTGCCACCGTTCATAGTTTTTTGTGGCGTTATTTTCAGAGCTATAGAAACCTACCCACGCCTTTTTAAATTCAGACTTCCAGTTATGGAAAGACTTTGTCACTGTTAAGCGAGCACAAGCCTTGCCGTCATTTGCAAAGAGTTGCAGGTTAGCATTGTATCCTGTTATATTCACAGCTTTGGGATTTTTAAACTCGCTGCCTCTGTCTATCTCCTTTCCTACTGATTTCCAGAAGAAAAATAGAGTCCTAACCTCATGCAGTCGTACCTGAAGGCCTTCATTCAGGGGTACTGATGTGTCATAACTGCCTGACGCTATGTTCTCAATACATTTAGAAGTCAGGGCTTTCTCTTCCTGATTATTCTGGTAAAGTGCCACCATCACATTTCGTTTAAGAAGGTCACTATGAACATTGCTCCAAATAATTCTGGCGTTTCCACTTTTGCCTGTTGTCACCTTCAGTTTTATCCCATTTCTATGATCCACTTGATCTTTTGCAGACATCCCAGAAGTGACATTTTGCCTGCTCTCCAAATCAGGTTGTGTGTTCCTTCTTGGTGCTGGCTGACGTCTGCTGTTGTGTTTGTGAGAGGAATACTTTTCTGGGATCACAATAAACAAAAACAGTCCAAGACAAGCAAGCTCATCCCAGATATCCATAATGTCCCATAGCTGGGAATCATCAGCACTGCTTCCAAAGTGGTCTCTGAGAGACCTCATTGAGTTGATGTTATTGCGGTCCAAGGAAAACTTTCTGATCGCTCTTAGGAGGCAGACAGTGACTGGATATGTATGTTGTGGATCATAATCTGTCCCTTGATCTTCATATGTCTCATAATGCTGTGTGATATAGACTTGGTCTATTATCCGTGCTGCATTCTGCTGCCTGACTCTAATTATAATGCGAACCCTGTTACTGTCCTCAATGTCCGACTCCGCGACATAATCTGGAAGTTCCAGAGATGCATCTTGGTAGCTATTACCAACAGTGTAGTATCGGTATCCCCTCGGCAGTGGGTCTAACAGCTCTTCATCGTTGCGATAATAATGTGAGCCATAATCACCACTGTTTGGGTCAAAGGTCAGCAGGATATCATCATTGTTGTTAATGTCAATTTCATTGGCAAACCAGTGGAGCAAGCGGAGGCTGTACTCAGGCACAGACTGGCCAAAGCCTACCGTCTTCAGGTCACTGATTGAATTGAGCGCTCGTCTTACAGCTGACACAGAGGAGAGGGTCAGGAGGAGAGCCACACAGCAGCTGATTTGTCCTGATATCTTCAACATCCTGTAGAGATTTAAGAAGTTACTGGTTTCATTATTCATCTCTGCATCTTTACCTTACATTTGTTCATATTTTCCCAGTGGTCTTTAAACATTAGACATGTGTCCATATGAACCCTGCAGTAAGCTTTGCTAGTTATTGTGTGAGTGTGTCCGGGTGTGTGTGAGTGTGTCCGGGTGTGTGTACGTTTTGAGCTTTCCTGGTCCTTAAGTACAAGTTTGTCTGCTTCTAATTAAGCCAGAACGTTTTGTCCTGATGTTTGTTTGTGGGCTCATGAGCTGCTAAAATACAATTGCACGAGTAAACCTGAATATTTCCAAAAGCATTATCAAATTAATGTCTGTATTGACAGTTTTTGGGTTTTTTTAACACAGAATATACTTACTGATATAGCTGTGCTACAATTCTAATGATGCTGCTGCTCATGGAGTGTTTATTATGATTGCTGCCTTTTCAGGAAGTAAAACAATCCACAACACAAAATATCGCAAAGTCCTCTGTAGACTCTGTGTAATAGAGACCAATAGTAACAATCCATCACATAAAAGCCTGCTTCAAATATTGAAATGCATTCAGTGGGTCAATAAAGCCATAGAACGAGGTGAATGTATGTTTGTGAATGTATGTTGTGTGGTTTTCTTCTTCTGTGTGAAAGGGTGCATTAGAAGTGTGTAATCCTCAAAGAGACAGTCGACTCTCAGTATTTATTGTAACTTACTCCATATAAATTTCTCGTACAATGCTGTTAGCTGCACTGTCGTGTAAATAATTTTCCATTCAGAATAAATTCTAAGCAGAGAAACCTTTACAATAAAACCTAGAGTTAATCAGTCTCCAAATGATACAAATTAGCAGCAGAAAGTAAGAGAGCTTACCTGCCTTAGCCTGCTTCTGCCAGTGTCTGAGCTCTCTGTGTAGGAGCAGACATAACTCACTTTAGGTTTCTGTTCCCCTGAAAATGAAACTAAAGCAGCCGGAAAGGCTAGCGCTAACGGGAAGTTTCATAATACAGCTGTTTGCATGAAACCTCGTCCTCATGGAGAAAAACAGAACAGTATTTTAGCATTTTAGTTGGGTAAACAGCCAAGTGACACTTTTATATGCAAGTGCCACAGCTCTCGACCTTCCTTTTTTTGTTTCTTTGTGTTGTTTTGTTTTTAAAGCAGATTATTGGCCTCAAACACTTTTTTCCTTTTTTTTTTTAATCTTTTGCTATTATCAGAAAGTGTAGAAATCTACGTAGTGCATTGCAAACCTCATATCAGCTATGTTGTAAAACATAGAAGAGCCAGATGAAATTGAATCAAGTGAATCTTGTTTGTTATAGCCCAGTACCTAACCAGACCACACAGTTAATTTACTTTTTAAGCAAGACTAAAATATCAAATACAAAGTTTGAGTCAACACAGTTGTAACACATCACATAAAATGACTGTCCCCAATTAAAAATACAGTTTAATGAGCACAACATTTTAAAAATGCAATACAATACCAAAACAGTAACACAACACGTCTCTGACATTCATCTGTCAGAGTAATTGTCCGTTCTCCTCCCTGGATGAATATGCTGGGAGTCACTACTGTTGATTAGACTTGATTAGATATTTGACAAATACAAATGCACAATTTTGAAGTCCACACACAAAATGTTGATTTTTGTGACTTGCTGTCAAAGTGATTTATTACAAGCATGCTATAACCAGCCTGTCTTTTAAATCTAACACAAAATAAACTCATAGTCCAGGTTAAAACAAAAATGAAAAAAAGATAATGACATGGTTGCAAATTGTACAGCAGAAACTATTAGTCATGTAGTCAAACTCAGATAACTGCCTTGTTGTCCCGGTGAAGACAAAGATGCTCCAGGTTCTCTGGTCCTGAGCACAATTTCAGTTACTGATTAAACTATACTCTGTTGTTAGGGCTGTGTGATATGACCAAAATCTCATATCCCGATATTAAGACATCTATCGTCCGATAACGATATAAATCACAAAAATGTAACAATTTCTGTAAATTCTGTGAATCTCGGGCAGCTCGTCTTGCGGGAAGTGTTTCCAGCAGGGCGTTGCGTACCTGGAGTCGAGTGTTTTAACTGATGCATGAAACGATACATTTGTAGACATAGGTTGTAACGGCCGCCGTTTTCTTTGAGTAATTATTACACAGCGTGCTGCGGGGAAAAGCCTGTTCTAACATTTGAGTCTAAGGTTTATTTTTTAGCACCTG